TTGTGTTTGGGTATAATTTTCTTTTTCGGTGGAAAAAAATGGCAGGACGAATTGGTGTGGGCAGCGGCGTGGCTACACAAGGCGAGCGGGGATGGGTATTACCTGGACTACGTCATCAAGAATCAGGATTTGAGCCACTCCGTTACGGAGTTCAGTTGGGACAACAAGTTTGCTGGCGCCCAGACCCTCCTCGCTAATGTAAATATCTGTATTTATATACTCCCTCCGTTCCACAAAATCCTGGGAATGTTATTTCTTCAGCTATTTCTTCAGAAATTCTGAAGAAATAGCTGAAGAAATATCCCAGACCCTCCTCGCTAATGTAGTTATAATATTTGACTGATACTAAAATAAATTGATTTGAACTCTTTGACTTATAATAAAAAAAATTGACCAAAATTGTCAAAAGTTGGATATATTTTGAGACAGATGAAGTATATATTACTCCCTCCGTCACTCAAAACTTTTCTTCTTTATTTTTTCATCTGTCCCAAAAAAAATTTATCATTTTTATTAAAAAGTCACTTTTATGCCTACTACTTTTAACCTACCTATCACATCACACTGTTTCACTACTAATCTACCTATCACATCTACTTTTACTTATCACATTTATGAAAATTTTTGTAAAGTAAACACCAAAACACACTCTTCTTAAATCCTTTAAAAATCAAAACAAGAAATGTTTGTTGGATCGAGAAAGTATATCGTTCGGTCACAAAAAAAAATTGGCATGACTTAAAGTTTATTATGATCTATCTCATCAGGAATATTACGTTGGGAATAAAAACTTGGAAAAATTTAAGAACGACGCGGAGGCGTTTATTTGTGGTTTGATGCCCGGAAGTGGTTCTACTCAAATACACACAACCCCTGGTACACATTCATTACTAAATTTTCATTATTCTTCACAAATTACCTCCTCTCAGTGACCATCCGGCCGGGTTTAAGGGGGCCCTCGGGGATGGGGCTCATCCTTTCATTCTTCTTCACTATAATTATTTTTGTTACTGTCAAACTTTATTTATTTATTTATTTATTTTTGTCTATTTTTCATAATTATCACCTCTGTCCCGATGTGTTTATCTAATTTAACTTTTTCAATTAAAACTGGACAAACTTTAAGTTTTAATTGTTCTCAATTTGTATTGTTGCATATTACTCCGTAATATAATGAAATAAAATTTCAAAATTAAAGTTCTTAATAAGATAAATTTAATAAAATCCTTTTTATGCCAAAATACGCTTCAATTTTAATTTTTAACTTAAGCTCAAATTTTATCATGTTTGATTCGAGAATATCAAACTGAACAAAGATATAGTCTAAATCCGTCCCCTTAAAAAGTTCCTGTTTTGACTTTTAGCCAAATTAAGGAAAGTGTAATTTTGATTGACTTTCTAATTTTACCCCTGATGTTTATTAAAAAAAAGTGTTTTAAGGAATGAAGGGAGTACTAAAGTCATGTCATCATTTTTCTTTTTGTACAGCTGTTCAAATATTACTAATTTCAAATATGAGAATATAATTATTTATATCTTACCCATGCAATCAAATAAAATAAATTAAAATATGCAACTTTTGTAAGTGTTTATTTTGATCATTATTTTTACAAGAATTTTAAGTACAAATAACAATAATTGGATATGCAGGGGGTCTTCTATTTACACGAGATAGCAGCAACTTACAGTACACGGCGGGTGGGACGATGATACTGTTCATGTATGCCAGGATGCTTGATAACCATCGCATTGCCGCCGGACTTCACTGCCCTTCCGCCACCTTCTCATCCGCACAAATCAAATCATTCGCCAAGTCTCAGGTTTTTTTTTAAAAAAAAATTTAATTTCTCGTTTACTGCCTCCCTCCGTTACAAAAAGATTAACAAGCTCAACTTCTTGGCCAACTTGTGCAACATTTTGACCATAAATTATGAAAAAATACTTCCTCCGTCTCGTAAAACTTTTTAACATTCTCATCTTATATGTCTTCTAAAAATTTCAATTTCGCCTTCTACGCTCTACCCATTTATTTGACATTTCCCGAGTCCTACTTGTTTCAATTGTCATCTTTTCACCTTGGTCAAATTTCTATATCTTCCCCTCCTAAAAGTCAAAACTGGAAATGTTTTTCGCGACAGAAGAAGTATGTATATTTAGCTATACTTTAAATACAGTAATTAAAATTAGGTTCATTTTGAAATATAATATAGTTTTGATATATCAACTTTCTATAACATTTGATTATTTAAAATTATACAATATTTAATTTATTGTCTCCGAGCAATGTTCAATTTTTTAGTATTTTTAAAATTAGTTTGATTAGAAATTGGTATGGAAATAATATTTACTTTGTATAAATTACACCATTAAAAAATAATCGATCGTTCAATCCACAAAATATAACAAAAATATTTTGAATTTATTCAGTGCAAATTTCACTTTAAATTATTAAATATTTAAATTATTAAATATATAGAGTTACTGCTTGCACAGATATTTGAACTTCTGCCCATTGAGAAAGTCACCATCATATATTATTAGAGAACATGATTTTTGACGAAAATTTACATTTCATATTAATAGAATAAAATAAAGAGGAATTTACTTAAATAGCACTAAAACATAATGACTTCTACTGAATAGCATCACATGTGTTCTCTTCCCAATGCAACACTTTTAGTCATTATGCATTAATTAGTCATTATTCAAATAAATATTCACCATTACAGGACATTATAGACATTATTAAGTGCTCTTTAGAGAATAAAACAATTTAAGTACTATTTAGGGCATGTTTGGGAAGAACGTTAGAGATTAGCGTTAGCGTTTTGGATTAAATTTTAACAGTGCAAATTACTTTGAAAACGCTAACGTTAACCGCTGCCCGTCGATAGCCTTTTTAAAATGCTAATGCTAATCGATAAAGATATTCCTAAACAGACCCTTAGAGAAATGACTTAAGTTTTAGTGCTATTTAGTGCAAATATTTCTAAAATAAATTTCTAATAAACAAATGCATGTATATATATATGCATGGATGGTGCAGGTAGACTACATACTAGGAAACAACCCAAACAAGATGTCGTACATGGTCGGGTTTGGGAGCAGCTACCCAAAGCAGCTTCACCACAGAGGCTCATCCATCCCCTCCATATACAAACTCCGGGAGAGGGTCGAGTGCGACCAGGGGAAGGCGTGGCTCAACTCGGGCAGCCCGAACCCGAACCTCCACACGGGCGCGATCGTTGGCGGGCCCGACAGCAGCGACCACTTCACCGACGTCCGGTCGTCGTACTCGCAGATGGAGCCCACCACTTACATGAACGCTGCCTTTGTTGGATCTGTCGCAGCTTTGCAATAATTAAGGCCAATATTAATTACATTCTACTCATCCTCCTTCTTCTAATGGTAATAATATAATTGTAATGGTAATTAATAATTACTGGCTTAAGTAATCCTTAATGTGAAACATATATATACTCCTCATTAGCTAGAGAGAATGAAGTGTTAATGTAGAGAATAAATGCATGTGGTGCATGCCTTACTGAATAGTAAGTGACATGCATGATAATAATAACAGCAATAATAATCATACAATTTGAAAATGCAAGTGGTGTTCTAGCTAGTACTCTACTCTTCGTCTCTAAATTAAATAATTGTCGTCTTCTTTACTATTATTTGAGTCTTCTGGTAACTTTTGTTCAGTAACAAATGCAATTATATTGATGACTTAATAGAATGAAATAAGGGAAGTGAGAAGTTATAATAAGAAGTGGAACTAACAACATTGTTTGGAAGGGTATATATGGACATTCACGTTTAGTGAACGATAAACAAATCAAGGAGAAAGTACCTCCATCTCATAAAACTTTTAAAAAAGAAAAAGTGCGGCCTAAAAATGGTCCGTTTTTGATATTATTTTCTTAATTATTGTGTGATCCATCCTACACATCATATTCTATCTTATTATAAAATTAAGGCAAAATTAGAAATTAATATGGACATTATTTAAATGACAACTTGTATTTTAGAAAAGGTATCATTTCTAATAATTACGGAGTAATAGAATTCTACGAAGTATAACACATGTACCATATATTTATGAAAAAATTAAATTTGAAAGATTATATCTTAATTCAAAAATACTTTACTCAAAATGTTAAAAAACATGAATGCATATGAGTCGTGCAAAATCAGTCCTTCATCCGTCACAAATATTTTTCTCGTTGCGCATTACGATGTTTGATTAAAATTATTTTTAATTTGTTCTATATGAAATTTTTTTGTTGAATTATAAAATAAAATTGCTGTGAATAAAGTTTGACTATATTTTATCAATTTAATAACGCAAATATATAAATAAAATAAATAAAGTTTATCTTAGTGAATAGTGGAGAAGAAAAATTTTCAAAACAAAACAACACATGATGTAAGTTTAGATTTTTGATGGATCATTATTAGCCATTAATCCTGGAAAAATATTTCATGTTTTGATTTCTTTGATCAAACAATGATATTTTTTTATCATAAATTAAACATAATTCAAATAAATAAATGTTGAGAAAATTTCATACATCAAAAATATATTTTAAGATAAACTTAATTACATTAAATTACTATTTAAATTAAATATATATATATATATATATATATATTTTATTTTATGCTAAAAAATGACACTAAAAAAAGTGTGGAGGTAGTATTTCAAAAAGGGCAATGCTAGAGGTACACCAACATGGGGTATCCCAATGCTAGAGGTACACCAACATGGGGTACCCCAATTTACACCAAGCCAACACAGACACACACAGACACAAAATGTCTGTGCAACACAGACACTTTGTGTCTGTGTGTGTCTGTGTTGGCTTTGGTGTACACTTGGGGTACCCCATGTTGGTGTACCCCTAGCATTGCCCTTTTTGAAAGAATTAAGGTAGGGGTACACCAACATGGGGTACCCAAGTGTACAAGCACACAGTGTCGCAATTTCGCGCGCGAAAGACAACAAGCCAATTTTTTTTTTTTTTTTTTTGCAAGCTTGAACAATGGGAGAGCTCTCAAAATCGTCCGTTTTCTTCTCAGATCAACATCTCCGCTACGCCGATATTCTCCCTCCGATGCAGGTTTTCCGTCCACATCTCTCCTCTCTCGATATGTATTTGGCTATATTTTACAGATCTCGATCGAAATGGAGTAATCTGTTCAGGTCCGAGCTAGAATCGAAGTTGCAGTCCTGAACTTCCTGAGATCCCTAACTTCCAGCTCTCCTTCGATATCAGATCTTCCTCTGGTATGGTTTTCCGCTTCAAATCTTTGAAGAACTAATCTGAATTTATATTTTTTTCTAAATCGTGTATGATCTAGGGCAACTCGCTGTTTGGATTTTATGGATAATATTTCATAGTGCCTTTCTTATTCTTCGAAGATTTCGTGAAATTTATCACTGTATGGAACAGATTAGTAGAAATTCGAAGAATAGCAGAGTTAGTCGAGGCCTTTTGACTGACGAGTCGTCTATTTTTCTCTCGCATACATTCTGTAAGCTTTCGTTAGTGAGGGAGAATACTGCCAGAGCTTTTGTGAGAGGTAAGGTTAGATTTTGACTAATTTCGGTGGTTTACAATTCTTTGAGTATCACTTTTGCTTTTGAAGTGTGGAAGGTCATGGAAATGTGCTACCAAGTTCTAAGTCAAGATGGGAAAAGGGTTACCCAGAGAGAGCTATTCTACAAGCTTCTTTGTGATTCTCCGGAATATTTCAAATCTCAGTTGCAGGTCAACAGCACTGTCCAAGGTGTTAATCATTCACATTCTTGCTCTTTTTGTTTTTAACAATGAATTGAACCTGTTTGGCCAACAGGCTGTTTCGTTTTAGCTACTTAGCTATTTGCTATTGAGTAAGTTGTTTGTGTGTAAGTTGTTTGTGTGTCTGCTGTTTGCGGCATCTAAATCATTCATAAATGCTTTTGAAAATCTAGATTTGGTAGCGTTGCTCCAGTGTAGTCGCTTCAGTCTTGGAATAATGGCTTCCAGCAGAGGAGCTGTTGCTGGCCGTCTTTTGCTACAGGCATTGCTCTTTTCCTTCTGACTGAAAACTTAAATATTTATTCGTTGCTAGTGTTTATTGACCAGACTATTGGAATTGTCTGATTGTATTGTTTGATACATATCCTAGACTTTGAAAGATGATTATGAAATGGGATCATCTTTTGACTTTTTCAAAAGGAGCCAAACAAAGAGTTTGTGGACTGCTCTACTTGTGGATCTTCCGGTTATGCCATTTCTGGGGACCTGAGCCTGTTGGGAAGATTAGTTTTGAAGTCAGATGCTCGATATATCATTGTAGTGGAAAAGGTATATCTTCTTGTCCACATTTCAAGATGTTTTTTTGCTAGGAGTGCTGCAATTTATTTAATAAACCCATCATGCATCTGCAGCATGCTATATTTCAGCGGCTCGCTGAGGATCGGGTTTTCAATCAACTCCCGTGCATTCTAATCACTGCTAAGGGATATCCAGACATTGCCACTAGGTGAACTAAGAAACTCTGTGCGGCCTTGGTTTGCATTTTTAAAAATAGGTGATTCCAATTTTAGAATCAGATGGTTTTGAAAATCATTAGAATCAAGCTTCAATCTCATTTAAATGTAATCATTGGAGATTTGGAGGGTTATTTCCAAAATCTCAATTTGGAAACCAGAGTCGACAATCTTACCTGTACTTTTGCCAAAATACAAACCAGATATACAGTAAGGGTGTTTGTGATTCGAAAATCAGCAAACATCACCTTAGAAATGCAAACCATATGCATCCTCTAAGTGAAACATTTGATTTTCTTCTTTAATCTTGACTAAAGTTATAGCCCTAACTAGCACTCCCTTGACTATTCTTTAATTCTCTTACAAGAGATGATACTTAGTTTTTTTTTTTAATGCCACAGGTTCCTCCTTCATCGGATGAGTAGGACTTTTCCTGGCATTCCAATTCTGGGTTTGGTGGACTGGTACTTAATCACTTCTTTACTGTCACTCCTTCCCCTTGATAGCATTATCTACTCATTTTCTTTTTCCAAACTGGCTCTTTAGGAACCCGGCTGGTCTAGCCATACTGTGTACATTCAAGTATGGAAGCATAGGGATGGGCCTGGAAGCTTTTCGATATGGTGCCTCTTTTTTTCCTTTTTAATTAGATCTGATGTCATAAATATCTTCAATAGGATATGCTTTGATTTTGCTTTCGTTCCAACCAAGCAGCTTGCAATGTAAAATGGCTGGGGTTGCGAAAGGATGACATAGAGAAACTAGTGCCAGAAGAGTCTTTAGTCTCGCTGAAGCAGCGAGATCTTCAGGTAGCCAAAAGCTTGCTATCGTCCGAGGTTTTGCAGGTATGAAAAAAACTTCAAAGACGCTCGTGAATTTGTCTAGTTAATATTGTGGTATATTTCCTTTGCATTTGTGCAATTATTTTGCTGATTTTAGAATCAACTTCCAATTTTTGTCTACTTAGTTTGCATTTTGGTCAAAATGAGACAATTGTTTTCGATTATCAAAAGAAGATTTCGGAATTTGGACTCCCCGTGATTCTAACCATCAACTCTTGTGATTGTCAAAACAAGAATTGAAAACGTAAACTAGAGCCACCCCATCTGACTAGAGAATTGGTTTGATCCAGGACAATTACAAAGAAGAATTGTCAATGATGGTTGAGAGTGGTCAGAGGGCAGAAATTGAAGCTTTCTACTTCCATGGTTATGATTTCTTGGGGAAATTTCTTGCCAGGAAAATTGTGCAGAAAGATTACATTTGAACTCCATTGTATGCTTTTAGCTATATCCTCTATGTATTGATTGTCTTGCGGGCACAATTTAAAACCTTTTACAGAGTAGAACAATTTCTTTTATGCACAATGGGTTACACTTTCATTTTCAAATTCTTTGAACCAAGCCGTGTCCATCTCATTGATTTTTACATTTTTATCTGTTTCCCAACTTTTATTTCAAACTCCACCTGTCCAAAAAATATCTTTCCGTTGCACATTATAATATTTGACAAATTATTTTCAATTTTATGAAAAATAGTGTGAAATTAAAAAATAAAAATTACATATTAAAAACATAATATCAAAATATCTATAAAACTAGAGGAGACAAGACTATATTATTTTACCAAATAAAAACGAAAATTGGTCAACAAAGATAATAAAATTTGACCTTACAAATAGTAAACGAGAAAATAATTTTTGAACAAAGGGAGTATAATATTTAGTACTCTCGTAACAATTATGTGATATAAATGTGAGAGGATATAGACCTATTCATTTTTTGAGAGGAGAGGGGAGGCGCTAATCAAAGGTTTTGCACAAGCCATACAAACCTAGACCTTTTCTGAATTAGTAAGAAATTACTTTCTGATTAGTAAGAATTTAAATTTATTTTAATGTACAAAAATTCCACACATAATGAGCACTAATTTGTGAGCACAAAACTTCATTCAAAGAACAATTCATTTCACTAGAGAGTCTTCACTGAGGAATAATCATTCATGTACATACGATTGTACAATAGGATAACTCTCTACTTCACCAATATTTTGTTATTCCATTTAGTTCACATTTACATGACATCATTCATCATCTATTTATGCTTTCGTAAACACAGTCCTCAAAGGCATAATAAACTGACAGAAAGAGTTGAGCTCAAGAGAAAATTAAGAGAAAAAAATGGGAAAAAAATAGAAAGACCATAAAACTGAAAAAAGTGGGAGATTAGCCACAACAAAAGATTGAAAAGATGAAGAAATGTACTCGTAGTTAATGGCTCTTGAGGAGAGACTCGACGGCTTCGAAAAACCACGGGGCCATTTCTGGGCTAGGAGTCTTCATTGCGCATTTAAGACCCAGAACGCCGACGACCGTTGTGAGCTCAATCAAGAAAGGGGTCCCTTGAGGGATCTTCGCGGAAAGGTAAAACACTTCTTGGTTGGCATGTTTCCTCTTGGCGATGAAAAACATGTTGACTGTGGCTAAATGGTCAATGGTGGCGTCGATGCTATTTATGACAATCCCAGGAAAGTCCCTTGAAATCTCATTTGAATCGGGCAATGACTTCCATGTCTGCATCATTTACAGGAAAAGACTTGCGTCTATCAGTTCTCCCCGACTTGCCATGGATAAAAGTATTTGTATACAATGATATGAAATGATGAAATATTTCTACTCTCTATCCCAAAATTATCTATTTTCTATGTTTAAGGATAGGATTTATTGTGTGTGTGGTTTACTATGTTGTTCCTCTCTCCTCTGGATGAATCTCAACCACCTGTTTTTTGCTTTCTTAAAAAATGTGTAAAGTCAAAACATGAGTTTCAATGGGTATGGAGGGGTATTGTTGATGCATCAGCAGAAGTCGCAAAGCATCTGACTTTATTTAAAACAAAAAGGAAAGCCCTTCATATGTTCTATTGTGCATATGATATTACCTCTATGATACTCCATATTATGGTATTACCTTCATCCCTAAATTAACTTCATACTCCTTCCGTCCCGAAATTATCTTCCGGGTTTGACTTGGCACGATTTTTAGTAAAGTAGAATGTGGTTGGTTGTGGTTTGTTTAGAGGAAAAAGAATGAACATGGACCACATTTGTTTTCTTAAAAGGAAAGATAATTAATATGGACCATATATTTGTTTCCTTAAAAAGAAAGAGGAAGAATTTTTTTGGGACTACTCAAATAGGAAAGAAGGAAGATAATTATGGGACGGAGGGAGTATCCCTTATAGATGCAATATTGGGATGATCAATATATATGATTATATATAAACAAAATAACAAATTATATAAACCTAATATATCCTAAAACTACATTTTAAATGGAATATAATGAAATTAAAGATAAATTATTACTCAATGTGTTTAATGTGTTAATAATGGTCAAAGCTTAAAAAGTTTGACCACAAAAGTTAAACTGCCAAGATGTGAAGTTAATTTTGGAACGGAGGGAGTATCCGATAGGATAAGAAAAATATTGAAGTATCAATGCATTGGTTACCTCAAGAAAAGTTGAACGCTCCATTTTTCCATCCTCAGTAAAGAATACGTGAAATGAGATCTTATCATTGAAGTACCACACTGGCTGTTGATTGTTTTTCACGGCAACTTGCAGAAGGGAGGTTGGGGGCCCCGGAGAAAGATTCTGGAATAACACCATTGGCAGCAGAGTGCTCGCAGATGCCCCGGGTTGCAATTGTGGTACCTATTGGAAACACTTGTTAACTTCAAGTCAGACACGGGAGGGCAAATGAAATGACATCACGGGTGGAAAATAAAAACCAAAATAAAAGCTCCCCTTTAAGCGAGAGGAAGAGAAAAAGGGGGAAGGTGGTGGGGGTCTATTCATGACAAGTTATAAGTTGAGACCTGGAGTGGTCCAGCAGCAGCAAGACCAAAAGTATTCTTATTGAACTGAATCATGAACCCATCAAGTGAAATCTGGGAGTGGTTTTCAAACAACATGCTGTAAAATACTTGGCCATCTCTTCGTATCACTTGTGCACTGATTTGTAATCCTTGACCAGTAGCTGCTGGTAATAGAACAGGCAGAGGAGGCCTGCAATCAAAATCAGTATTACATTAGAATTGTCATTCCAAATTTCTTTGGTGAATATACCAATCCCCTGAGTGGAAAGGTTTCTTATTTAGGAGTATTTATTAAAGATGCCCTTTACAAGATTTTAAAAACCCAGTGTTGTATGTTTTGTATCATATTGAAGTAACCTTATGTTACTCAGTTAGTCCTTGCTAAACCAGAGAGTGCATACCCAGCAGCAGGAACTGAAGGTTGATTAACAGGAACAATAGCAGAGTTGTTACTTTCTACTCCTAGATCAAGTAAATCTGGCACAACTGTAGGAGCTGCAGATGCGGCCGGTGCCATAGTCTGTTGCCTTGGTAGAGTATAGGGAGAACTACTTGATGTAGCTGGAGTTGAAGCACCGCTGTCAACTGGGTGACCAGGCAACTCCCCTGCCTCAGATCCATCAGCAAATTCTTCATCAGTTTTCTGAGTGATCTTCATACGAGATACAAATGAATCTGGGGGCTTATGATAAATGGATGATAGTGTAGAAATATTGGCAAGAAGTTCATCTAGAAGGGAAGGATCGAGTTGGTTCGAATCATCACTGATCACGGGCTTTTCAGCTAACACAATATCCTTTGCAGCCTGCAAGATCAAGGCATACCAGCCCGCTTTTAAAAATCATGTCTGAATTTTGAGTTAGGGATGTGATTGTAATTAAACTGAATGTCAAGTGGTCAGATCAATTTGACAAAGGGTGTTGCTAAATCCATTCCTTTTATGTTAAATAGACAATTTTGCCCTCAAAGGTTGACTTGCATCTAAGTTTCTTCTTTTGCTTTTTTAAGGGTAAAATTGTCAATTTAACAAGAATAAATTGGATATAGCAACACCCTTTGAAAAAACACTAATGAAGGGGCCTAATTTCAACACGCTTACATTACCAACTACAATGACACACCAGATCAATAAAAACATAAAAATAAGGGCTGCTTTTTCATCTAAAGTTTCAGTTACACCAAAAGATTAATGACAACTACAACAGAGAAATAAGAAATAGTGAATGAACTAAGCACCATTAATCTTATCATCTGAAATGAATAACCATTAAAGACATCAGCAGTTAGCAAAAGATATAAGTTCATTCATACCTCAGGATCAGTTGAAAGAAGGCGCCAATATATATATGCACGATCTCGCAAATCTGGATTGTCTGTCTCCAATGTGGCATTGTTCAGGACAACCTGGAAGTAAAATTTATATTGATTGTCGATATCAGTAAATGATTTGGAGCAATGGCAACACAATCTCTTTTCTACTACAAAGAGTGACACAACTTACACACAATTTCAAATCTATGAACAGAACTCTATATTCTGAATCCTGTGGGGTTGATAGATTACAAATTAAACCAGAGGGTTAACAAAAACTGTCGGTGTATACAGTAAAACCGCCAACTTGTCCGACTGAAGTTCCACGATACTACAATTTACAAATAAAACTACAAAGTGGTAAGGTGGTATTCTCTTAACCTTTTTTTATTCTTACTTTAAATTTTTAATCAGACCATACTAGACAAGCAATTATTCAGACCCGACCAGACCATGATAGAAAGATTGACTAGACCAGACGACAAAGGTTGAATGCACCCGACCACATTGGAAAAATTGAGATCAGACATGCTATATTTCAGACACGGGAAGAAAATTAGTCAAGATCATAAATATTAAGATCACACCAGCCCATATCAGACCAGAAAAATGCAAAATAGAAAGAACCAAATCTCAGATATTTCAGACCAGAACACATTTTTTAAGGCGGGGAGAACAGGTCTTACATTATGTACTTATATGTGCTTGTTGGCTTTGGGGTGTGAAAGAGAAGCATCCGCATATGCACAATTACACATGCAGCAGTAATTATAAACACTTAATCTCTCCCTCTCAAAATTTTCCTCTCGTCCCTTCCCATTTTATTTCAAGGAACAAACTATTGGTGTGGTTGATTTTGTTTTTCTCCTATCTAAATAAACCACGAATTCTTTTTTCATAATGAGCAGGTCAAGCCAATCACAGAAGAAAACTTTGGGACAAGGGGAGTAATAAGCTAGAGGTCTGCAGTGCAGACATGAAACTAGAATAAAAGCAGATCAAAATCCAAATAAGCAATGGCAATTCAATAAATTGCCCCTAGTTTTCCTCCCGGCTCAAATTGGCATACACCGAGCAAACTTTGAGTTACTCTGCAAAAGATGCACAATTTTCTTAAAGGGGTTTAATAACTGAGGCTGCTGTTCAAGGAAGAATGGAAGATACACAAAAGGTGGATGTAATA